AGGTCTTCCCCGCCTGTACTTTTAAAAAAACTGGATGAATTTTCGCTTCCGAGGTCAGTTTGAAATCAAAATCCTAATAGTGCGGGGCCATAGTGACATAAACACAACATATTTGATATGAATCCTTGGAAAAAATAAACTTGAGCCTGCAATCATTTGAAACTGGTAATTTGTCAGCGGATAACTTTAAAAAAATACTCGACCTCGATGGGTCGACACTTGAGCCCGCGGTACGGTCAGGTGATACTGGTCAGCGGATGCCCTGTTTTGATAGCTGTCAATTGATCACAACATTGATGTGCAGCCTGTGCAATTAGTTTTCTCTTGGGCTCCCAAACTAGCTAAAAGTGTGAGAGTAAACATTGGTTTTCCTGTGGTGCGGACGGACGGTGGGCGGTCGGTCGCTGTACGGTCACGTGATTACCAAATTTTCTGGGATGGGTAGATTTACTTAGCAATGGGGCTCCGCGCGTGGAGCTCCGCTATTATCAAGGGTAAATATTTAATGTTAACTTTGTTTCAATGCTTATCCATTTGGTGGATAAGTTAAGTATCACATGATGTATCTATCTCGACATCATGAATTTCCAGAATTATAAGAACTAGAACCACTACCTGGAACTTACCGGGGCCCAGTGGGACAGTGTATTGCATTAATATAGTTAACTTCTCGCACCCCTCCCCCCTCCTCTGTGGAGGCTAATACTTACTCGGAATTAACTTGTGCAGAAGAAAAGCAACAAAATGGATGAGAAAGGAGGATGTTGTCCTAAGTTTGTTCAGTGTTATCACAGCTAACGGTGTGTTTTATAGTAGTGTGTTTACACTGTAATGTCAATTAGTGTGATCTGTATAAGGTTTTTTTTTTGTTTTTAAGTTTGATTGAATAAGCAAAAATTACTGACAGTTTTGGGTTGAATGGTAATGACAAAGTTTACAAAGAAGTTTGTTACAGGGTTATCACAATTTCACATTTTGTCAAGTACGTTATCGTCAGGTTTATAGTGGAGGTTTATTAATCACGTTTGTCTATTTTTTTCGAAAACATTGTGAATTTGAAATGATAACAGACATAAGACATTTTTGAAATAGATCTTTGTGGTTATGGATTGTTGCCTTGCACTGTAAAAAATGTCATCCAGTGTTAGAGTGGTTTGCAGAAACCCTTGAAACAAAGTGTAATTGTGAAAGTGCAATAAATTATAATAGTCATGTATTTCCAATAGAATACAAAAGAGCTAACGTCGCCAAGTACTGCCTCCATCAATTTAAGTCGCTTGTGAGGACTTCCCACTTGACGTTGATCCTTCACATTCAATATCTTTCCACGTACAGTAACAACATCCCATTCTCTGCGTGTGTTTAGGATGTCTAAGATGGTGATCAGTTCACTCTGGAGTAGAGTGGACTCGTCATACTGAAATGAGTACTCGCATTGTTGAGGGATTGCAATGTTTGTCATATCGTTGACGATGATTTTGTCCCTGTCTTCAGTGTAGGTGAAGTGCTTCAGTTTCACAGGGGTATGATTATTCTGACTCTCTAGTAATAGTGGTCTCTTGTGTGTTGAATAGAGTAGCGCTTCTTGTGTCTCTTGGGCTGAAGTCTGCAGAACAAAGGTGCAGTAATTCATAGTGTTCCCTCTATTGCATCTTGGGTGTGATAGGTTGTGGACGTACCCTATCAGTGTTTCTTCCAAGATGAAAACTTTAGCGTTGAAGCCATCATTTGAAGAACCGCTTTTCCTTTTGAAAAGAAGCGTTTTTCGAAGTGGTTTGAGATTGCAACAGCGTTGGAGGAGACTCTGTCGTTTCTGGAATAGGACTTGGCGGTGCCGGTGGAGTAGCCTTTGCCGAAGCATTAGGTCCAGCAGCTGGCTCTGTTGTCGTAGATTTTAGCGATGTAGGAGTAGATGGCGGGGTAGATTTTGGCGATGGTAAAGTAGGCTTCAGTTTCGAAGTATTAGGTCCAGCAGCTTGCTCTGTTGGCGTAGATTTTGAGGATTTAGGAGTGGATTTTTGCGCTGTACGAGGAGTAGATGTCGACGTTGTAGGATTCTTAGTAGAGTTTGGCAATGTAGGGGTCGACATCTTACTACGTAAATCTGCAAGACTCGACTGCCAAGAATTTGTACTGTAATCTGCATATGTTTTATTTTTGCGTACCTCCCAGAAAATAGGCACGTGCTTTGTAAAATTTCTGATTGGTCTATGATTTTACAAGGTAGATTACAATAGCTTAAATGCAACATTTTTTACAATAGGAATCTCGTCCCTTTTAAGTAAATGCAAGGTTAAAAGAGTAATGCTAGAAGATATATTTTTCAAAGATAAGTGAAACGTTTTGTTAAGCAGGTATACAATTTAATCGGGTAGAATGGTTTCTTGTTTCTCCTACGTAGAAGATTACTTTGTTAATAAAAATGGCCTTGGAAAAACATGGACGGATTACTGCGTTGTTCACCCCCCATTCATGTAGTTGTATAGACAATGGCATTGGAAATGCATTAGAGTTCATTTTTTAGAAGGCTGAAGTTTTCGCGGGTTTATAACAAAACAGGCAAACGTCACATGTTACACTTAACAATTAACTAGTGTTGTTGAACGGTTTTATTTGTAAGGCGACAGTTGGTAGGATAAGAATCTGTCCCCTTTCACAGTGAATTTACAGTATTTAGATATATTTTTCAAAGATAAGTGAAACGTTTTGTTAAGCAGGTATACAATTTAATCGGGTAGAATGGTTTCTTGTTTCTCCTATGTAGAAGATTACTTTGTTAATAAAAATGGCCTTGGAAAAACATGGCCAGATTGCTGCGTTGTTCACCCCCCATTCATGTAGTTGTATAGACATTGGCATTGGAAATGCATTAGAGTTCACTTTTTAGAAGGCTGAAGTTTTCGCGGGTTTATAACAAAACAGGCAAACATCACATGTTACATTTAACAATAAACTAGTGTTGTTGAACGGTTTTAATTGTAAGGCGACAGTTAGTAGGATAAGAATCTGTCCCCTTTCACAGTGAATTTAGAGTAATGGTAGCAGGAAGATTAGTATCTTTGAAAGATTTGTTCTTATATTTACAAGCATTTTGGTCGTAAATTATAAACCGGTCATTTATTTAGTGATACTGGTTCACATCACATTACATTATGGAGAAAGTTAACTAAGTGGCAAGTTTACCACAGTAAACCGTATGGTAAGTGTGACTGGCATTTTTTTAGTTTGCCATTATAATCGCAACTCTGGTTACTTGCCATGACTACGGCGAAAAGCGTAAACATAACCTGTCACATACCATCACACTACGAAACATGTAATAAAAAATGGGTTTATCTCTCTTGTTTTGTAAATTTTGATTGGTTTGTTGACACTTTTTCGCATTTTTTTTGGTAGAATGCAACATTCCTTAAAGTTTCAGTTCACTTGTGTACAGTGTTATTAAGCTTTATTTTTCTTAATGCGGTTGTGAACAGAGGCAAACGATTTTCTCAATACATTGCCGACTAACCAGATCAAAATGGACTTAATCTATGTATCAATAAGAATCTCAGAAAATAACTTGCATATTTCCCCTGTAGAGTATTAGCTATAGAAAAGAAGCGTGAAAAATTATCTTAAGTCTTCATACTAAAGTAAAAATGAGAAGCGACAGTCAGTAGAACAATTTCCTTGTTTAAGATTTAGCGCTTTCACTTGCTGTGATTACGTAAGTTTTGCAGTGACGAATAAAATGTTATTAGTTATCTACCCAATCTGTTGAATTGATAAACAGCTTTGAGCACTTACGGCACTAAAAAGTACTACTCATATGCAATCGTTTTCTGTATTTTGCAAATACATATATGCAGGAAAAAAGAAGTGGGATTGTGCTGTTTTTTTTTTTATCAGCATTGTCTTAATAATGTATGATGTTTTTTCGCTAGTAAATAATAATGAAAACGAAATGTTACTGATGTACCTTTGGATCTGAAGTCTTCTGGTTATTAAGTCTTTTGGTCTTATATGTGACGGGAGGTTTTTCCACTTTCGAACGATCTGAACACCGAACGGGAACTCTGCGCTTTAACTGTCAATTAGCTAGGGAAAACTAGACTCAATTGCAACTCGCTTGCGGGAAAGAGACGTCAGTTCTCTTGAGGTCCGGGATCAAACCACTATAACTGGTATAGCAAAGGCAAACTGAACTTTGGTTCCAACAGATTTATTCTTGTAGACGTAGCGTAACTTAGCTTACAAATGTAATCGGCTATGTAATCGAAAAATCAGTTCAAAGCAACTTACTTGTATATGATTTGATGAATAACCATTTAAAACAAAAGAGTACAATAGATGTGTAAACAGAAATCATTTACAAGTAAATGAAAATCAAATAAAAGAGGTAGTTATAGCTTGTTTGCGTTGCTATTTTTAAAAAGTAAAAGTACTGGAACAAAAGTTAGCTAAGTTTGCTAGGTCAGCGAAACAGCATTTATGTACAATATTTTACAATATGAATGAAATTGCAAGGCCAGCTAGCGTGTGTTCAAACAAGAAGAAATGCCGATTACTTACTGCTGTAAACACTGTTTGCTTTTTCTAGAATTATTGCGTTAACGAACACTAAGTAATCAAACGTACAATAAAATGGCACGAGCCGTCGAAATGTAAATCAATAAAGTGTTCTTGTACAAAATATTATTGCTAAAGCGATTCGTAAAGCAAAGCGAAAAGCAGCAAAGCTATATCAAGCGAAAACTTTGAAAGCTAAAACTTTAAAAATCATTAACTTCAAACGCCACTATAGTAAAACCCTATTGAAATCAAAGATTACTTATTACTTGAATTTACTTCCTAACATTCCTCCGACCTTAAGTTTGAGCCGTCCTCGGCGAAGTGAAAATGAAACACGTAAAAGTTCTGAAAACCAATGTCTATTCGAGGTTTTGTTCGGACATCCAGTCGAGATATGCTTGCATTTTGTCTCTGGTGGTTGCCTTATTGTCATGGAGTTGAAGTAACTGTTTTGCCGGTGGGCAGGAAATGTTCTCTAAGTCCTGGACAAGAAGGGCTATACCGAGACAAGGCAAAGACTCCACTAGTCGACCGAATAGGGCCATTTGGTGTCTTCCCTTCACCCAAATGGTGATTGTCTCGGGAACAGGCTGGTTGCCCTCAAAAACGTCCAAGATGAACTCCTGGAGGAAGGAAAGGAGGCAGGTTTCCACTGCACACTGAGGCAGACCGGTGGAGTGGAGGTCCCAACCATGGAGATGTGACTGGTATCTATAAGTTTGGATAGCAGTGGCGGAGCTGGTTAGTAGTGGAGTCGAATCGAACTGGCGGATGCGATAGGTCTTGGTGGCCACGTCACCCAAGGCGAGGGCCTTGAAAAAGAACGGCTCATCAGCATGCTGAAATCCGTCGGCCAAGGCGATGACAGAGAGATAGGCCATGATGCTATTGTGAGTCTGTGAAACTGGGTTAAACCTTGCTTAACGTGAGCTCAATTCGAGATTTGTAAGTGAATGATCTGCAAACCCGTTAACTACGTTTATTATACGTTACATCAGTATGACAGAACTTTTAAAGGGTCCTTACAAATGTCCTGCTTCTTAAACAAAAGGTAAATGATGCAATATAAACAATACTGAAGTATCGATAAAATGATCGATATAACAAGTGTCATTGATTCCGTATCCAGTGAACATAATATCAAACACATAAGGAAATCAATAACTTTGAAGTCAACACAATGGCAAATGAGTTTTGATTTGTTCTTTTTGTAAGCTTGATGCTTACGATTAAAGATTTAGCATTATATGTAACTTCTATAAACAGCAGTTTCTCTCCAATAGCGTTGTTCTCTAAAGGCATTTTCATTATCCATTTCTTGGCAATTTTACTGGTAACTTTCGGTGCAAGTCATTTTCCTTATCGTCAATGATTTCAATTAATATTAACTGACAAAGCAGCTCCGCACATTCATTAGCTTTGATCATAGCACCTTTTGTACGACGTGCGACTCTAGATGTTCTTGAGTGCTTGGCTTACTTTTTTAATACAGATACTTGATTGGTCATTTCGTTAATTACAGCCGTAAAGTGAAGTTGGGGCATCTTTTGCTTGTTCTCTTCCAACGTCATTGCCAAAATAAACTTTTCGTCATTGCTCTCTGTTATGGTAGTTGGCCTTGTAGTTGAAATGTTTTTACGACCAGAGCATATCTTCAACTGAATATTGGTCAACTTCTAGGATTGGCCTTGCTTTATCTTTGGGATGTATTCTTCAATCCATGGCCGGAGTATAATGAGTCTGTTGTGCCCGATATTGTTGAGAGTCTGTTGACCATTTTGCATCCCGTTGAAAATTGTTGTGGTATTCCGTGACGTTTCCATCAGAATTTCATCTTGTTTTGACTTTGTTACAATAGTTTTGTTGAGTAAAGTAAGCCTTCCTTTGATTATTCAGGAACTGTTTGGAGCGTCAACGTTACGTAATATAACGTATTACTCCGAGTTTGCTTATTATGAACATAACCTATAATTTAAGTTATAGGTTACCCCACCCCTGTACCTCCCGGAGTGCTTGCTCATAGGCTACCAACAAAGCGTTTTCAGTTGGCTTGGGGCAACTGATCGGAAAGCTGAATTTTGGTTTTCAGAGTGGGATATTGAAATACTAGTTACCTGGCAGCAGCTCAAGTTTGTTGAGCTTTGTCATGAACGTTTTAGGGAATGTTTAATTAATGAAAATCAAAGTAAAACTTGTGCGTCAAATTTCTATAAACTTTTCTCAGAGTTTAGAAATATCTCTATAGCTTCGTGATCCGAGTAATAGACACTAACAATGTTGGTCTCCAACATTTTTAGCTTATAGTCATCTGTTTGCTTGACGTAAATATGGTCAAGTGAGCTTCCTGACGGTACAAAAGTGGCACTTTCTACAACTTGTTTCTAAGCATAGAAGTTCATAAGTTCTTTAATTTGCGTAATGGTAGTATCATTAAAATAGTTGATATTAAAATCACCCATTATAATGTCAATTGAGGAAACACTAAGAAGTTCATTCAAATTATTGATATATTCATGGAGATTTGTGTTGTTTTTTCTATACATAAAAGAAATGAGATAAGTAGTTTGTTAGAGAGTTGAATATGACAAATTCCAGGGCATTTATACTCAAAATGTGTCGTCTGTCTGACACTAGAAAATTTGGTTTTGTACAAGCAGCTAAGCTCAGATATTTGTCAGTTCTGTGATCTTGTGTGTATAGTACAAAAGGTTTTAGGTTTTCTTGTGTGTCAACATCTGAGTCATGTGGAAAAAGTTGTGTTTCAGTAAGAGCTAAGACGTCGCTTTTCATAAGGTTAACATCACATTTGATGTCGATGCTATGCTTTTTAAGTGATCGTACATTTAACAGGCAAATACTTAATTTATGATGAGCGTTTGTGGAAAGTGAAGACGGACTGTATCCATGTGTTGTACTATTTTCCGTCTCTACTTGTCTTAATCGCTGATATTCCATGTGTACTTTTGGATTGGCTTTTATATGTTTTTTCTCTATATTACCCACAATATACAGACCTTGCAAAGAGGTTACATGGCTCAATGCGACATAAATTTGTCCAGGGTTAAAACTCTTTTGTTTTCGCAATTCAAAGTTAACAGCAACTTCATTTAATGTTAATCCCTGTACCTTGTGCAGTGTACAGGCCCATGCTAATGTAATAGGAAATTGTAATCTTTGTATTTCTGGTGAAGATGGTTTTCCAGGTGTGACTTTAATTCTTGCTAAAACAGGTTGAATAGGCACTGCATTGTTCTCTCTTGCATATCTATCCGTACGTTTTGATATTGCGTAAACACAAGCTTGGCAGTCATCAAACTCAATGAAAATTACAGATGGTTAGTATTTTGGTTCATGACTATCCTTGCTATTGTCCCCATCTGC